CAAATATGAGCAGTCGATGGGTCAATTTCATGCTTTCATACGCGAGCAAAATTTCCATAAACGAGCAGACTCAAGGCAGGTTCCTTGACACTGGTGAGGGGCTCTTGCTCTTGATCTAGGGAATTGTATCTCATTTGTCTGTTGGGCTATCTTATTGAAACTTGGGCAATGTTTTATGGAAAGATGTTTCTTAAAGATAGATGCTTCTTAATGAAAGAAATCTAAGCACAAATAATGGAGTTCACTTCTCAGCAATTAGCCACCCCTTAGCGGTATTTTCGTATGGGTTTTATGGTTGTATTCTCATTTTTTTGGTCTCATTTGATAGAATGGAAGATATATTACAGAAACAGAAGTGATTTTGATTGCTTTCACAACAAAAGGTACCTTGAAATTGAGCTCAACCTAGGAGAAATGTTCGATTGTTTTGGCTGTGTTCAAGAGTAAATGAATGACGTCACTGTCCATTCTAATATGCAGTAGTGAATGGGTTGACATTATTTATATAATTATTGCAGTAAGGCATAACAGTAAATCTTATATTTTTTATGTGAATAAAAATTACAAACTATTTATATTTTATTCATTTTAGAGTACGTATATATCAGGTTTCTATGTTATTTATATTGTTTATTATATCATATTAGATGAATTGAGATAGATAAATAAGCCGTAGAGTTGATATTAGCAAAATTATTGACGTACAGAATTCTACTGGAATGGATTAATTGCATTTCAATTAACTTAAATGAGGAAAATTGACTCTGCAAACGAGCAAATCCAGTTGGGAGCAAGGTCATGGAACGGATTAAACTCGCAAGTAGAGGTTCCACTGTATATATGACCGAAACAGTCAAAGGGTTAAGATTTGCCTGAAGTGTGACAAGGTTTTGTCACTGAACATGTTGCAGATATGGCTTGGTCAGGGTGATATTTCTCCACAAAACTTTCACCTTACTACACTCTGCACAAATGTCCTTAATCGCTGAAGAAGGCACCTTCTTTCCTCTCTCTTCTGCATCTGAACCAATTTCCTCAGCTGTGGTCTGTTGCTGTTGCAGATGAAGGTCTTGCAGCTCTTCGGTGGTTAGCTCTTAGGCCCATGGTGGCTTATTTCGCAATCGCACTCAATAAACAACCACAAAAAACAATGGATTATAGCGAAATGTTTTGATGAATGCACGGAATGTTGCTCACTCACCAAGAGACACAGCCAAACTGACTCACGCACGTAGCGTGGCAGGCGGATGCATCCAATACGGCCGATTTCTGAGTTGTCAGTTGAAATCCAGGATAGAATTTCGTCCAAAAAAAGTGGCCAAAATCCGATTTGGCCAATATCCGCTTCGGCCGATATCTGGGGGTCCACTCTATTATGTACAGTAGTACATACTCTTTGCTAACAGAATGGATGATAGCCAAGTACATGTATAACTGTACTTGGCGTGAGGTGAGCCAGGGCGGCAGCCAGTCTGGCAGTGAGCGAAGGTCCCCTCACGTGCTCCAGCGAAATATTTCATAATATTCCATTTATTTTAGTGCTTGCAGGTACTAAATAAGCTACCATGGCTCCAAAGAAAGCTCCTAGTGCCAAGCCTGTGGTAAAGAAGGCGAGAAATACGATTGAATTTAAGAAAACCATCATTGAACAATATGAAAGTGGTACAAGTGTGGCCGAACTGTCCAGGATGTATAAGAAACCCTACACAACCTTATGTTCCATAGTGGCCAAGAAAAATGAAATAAAGGATACTGTTGTTGCAAAGGGAGTAACTATGCTGACAAAAATGAGATCAACAGTACTGGAAGAGGTTGAGAAGTTATTATTGGTGTGGATAAATGAGAAACAATTAGCAGGAGATACTCTTATGACTTAGTTTATTTGTGAAAAGGCTAGGCAGTTGCATGAAGATTGGTAAAGAAATTGCCTGCAAATAGTGGTGAAGTGAGTGAATTTAAGGCCGCAAAGGCTGGTTTGAGGGATTAAGAACCGTACTAGCATACACAGTGTGGTAAGGCATGGTGAGGCTGCCAGTTCAGACCACAAGGCGGCTGAAAAAAATGTGCATGAATTCCAGGAGTACATAAGAGGCTGAAGGACTGAAACCTGAACAAGTGTTCAATTGTGACAAAACAGGCCTCTTTTGGAAGAAAATGCCAAAGAGGACCTTCATAACACAAGAGGAAAAGAACAATGCCAGGACACAAGCCTATGAAGACAGGCTGATGCTAATGTTTCTGTGCTAATGCTAGTGGGATTCAAAGTGAAGCCATTACTAGAGTACCATTCTGAATATCCCAGAGTGTTCAGGAAAAACAATGTTATGAAGAGTAAATTGTGTGTGTTTTGGAAATCTAATAGTAAGGCATGGGTCACGAGGGAAATTTTCGTCGAGTGGTTCAATGAAGTGTTTGGCCCTAGTGTGGAGTTTCTCCTGGAAAAGAAATTGGATCTCAAGTGCCTGCTAGTAATGGACAATGCACCTGCTCATCCTCCAAACTTGGATGACCTAATTTTCGAGGAGTTTGGGTTCATCACAGTAAAGTTCTTGCCCCCGAATACCACTCCTCTCCTCCAACCCATGGACCAGCAGGTTGTTGCAAACTTTAAAAAACTCTACACAAAAGCAATGTTTCACAGGTGCTTGACTGTGACCACAGACACTCACTTGACCCTAAGGGAATTTTGAGAGAACACTTCAGCATCCTCCACTGCATAAACCCTTATAGGTATGCTTGGGAGGGAGTGACTACCAGGACTTTGAATTCTGCCTGGAGAAAATTGTGGCCAGATTGGTCGACAAGAGGATTTTGAAGAATTAGGGACTGGCCCTAATGAGCCTATGTCTGTTGTAAAATCAGTTGTGGCACTGGGGAGTTCCATGGGGTGATGTGAGTTTGGAGGATGTGGAAGAATTGGTGCAAGACCACAATGAAGAGCTCACCACTGAGGAGCTGCAAGATCTTCAGCAGGAAGAGCAACACATCGTAGCTCAGAATCTTGCTGCAGAGGAGGAGGAAGAGAGATGGAAGAAGGGCCTTCTTCAGAATTAAAGAGATTTTTACTATGTGGGGTAAGATGGAAAGCTTTATGGAGAAACATCACCCTAACAAGGTTGTTGCAAGCCAGGTTGGCAACATGTACAGTGACAAAGTCTTGGGCCATTTCAGGGAAGTGTTAAAGAGACGCCAGAAACAGAGCTCTCTCCAGTTATTTTGTGAGACAGGACTCCAGTGACTCTCAAGTTGGTCCTAGTGGCATTAAGAAACAGAGAAGAGAAGCAACCCCAGAAAAGCAAATGGTACCTGAGGTGTTGATGGAAGGGGATTCCCCTTCCAAACTATAAACAATCCACTCTCTCTCCTCCTCCAGTCTCCCATACACTAAGAAGAATCTCCAATAAAGGTAAGTGTTATGCTGTTAATGTTTCATTGTATTGTTTCATTGTATTGTTTATGTACTACGTGCATATTTCATGTTAAAAAATTTTTTGTTTTAATACTTCTGGGTGTCAGGAACGGATTAATTGTATTTACATTATTTCTAATGGGGAAAATTGATTTGTAAATCGTAAATTTCATTTATAGTAACGGCTCCAGGAACGGACTAATTACGAACAACGAGGGACCACTGTAAATAGTTTTTAGGTCTTGATGTGCTGTTGGAGTGTGAGCAAGGTAACATTCATGAAGGGATTCAAGGAAACCAGCAGGCCGGACTTGAGTCCTGGAGATGGGAAGTACAGTGCCGGCACTCTGAAGGAGGGGTGTTAACCCTTTGACTGTCGAGGTCATATATATACGTCTTACGAGGTACCATGTTTGACGTATATATACTCATAAATTCTAGTGACTTCAAATCAAGCAGGAGAAAGCTGGTAGGCCCAAATGTGAGAGAATGGGTCTGTTTGGTCAGTGTGCACCATATAAAAAAAAATCCTGGAGTATGCAGTGCATAATGAGAAAAAAAAACTCCAAATTTTTTTTAAATAAAATGCCGAAATTGTGGTGTATTTTCGCATAGTATTTATGGTTGTATTGTCGTTTTCTTGGTTTCAATTGATAGAATGGAAAACATATTATAGAAATTGAGGTGATTTTCATTTATTTTAATATAAAAACAACCTGAAAATGGAGCTCAAAGTAGGGGAAATGTTTGATTTTTGCTGATGTTCAAAAGTAAACAAATGATGTCATTGTTCAATAAATGTCCAACTAGCCATTCTAATATGCAGTCATGAATGGGTTGATGTTATTTATACAATTATTACAGTATTGCAGTAGTCTGCATAACAGTAAATCTTCTATTTTTTGTTTGAATAAAAATTCAAAATAGAAAGCAAGAGTAATATCAGAGGGGCCTGGAGACATGACTGATGAACAAAGAAAATGTTATTTTAGAGCCAGGAATGTCTGTATTGTTCATTCTGGACCTTATTTTGAAATTGTCATATTTTTTAATTTTTGTAAATTTGGCCAAATTGCAAAATTCTGACCACGTTATTGGGTAGTTGAAATCGGGAAATGAGCAGTTTCTTGTACTCAATCAATAGAAAAAATGGAGTTCTAAAGAAATAGCTATGAGTTTTGTCAACTAGGACAATGGAATTAGCCGAAAATAAGGGTCAAAGTGGGCGAAAGCGCCGATTTGTAAATATCTCTGAGGTTGCTAACTTCATTAGAGCGTAATTCCGTCAGCTTTCCATCAAATTTTGATGTTTTTGGTGTCATTACAATCGGGAAAAGATTCTCTATCATTTCATAAGAAAAAATAATTTTTTTTTTTTTAAATTTTGCGACACCAGGAGACACTTCAGGATTGGGGGTTGCGACAGTCAAGGAGTTAATGTTGCAGTTTTATGACCGTGGTGTAAGCATGCCTCTGGCAAGACAGTGATGGAGTGAATGATGATGAGAGCTTTTCTTTTTTGGGCCACCCTTCCTTGGTGGTAGATGGCCGAAGTATTAATGAAAAAAATAATTAGAAATTTCCATTTCAGGTTGATCCAAAACGTGAGTGGTCAAAGTATATCACAAGAGAAAATGACCGTTGTGGTGAAGTATTTGACCTTCTGTGTAGCCCAAGCCATGAGCTACGTATTTTGGCTGTGTCCCTCATACATGTCTTATTGGTGAAAGTTGATGGATCTATGATCGATAGTCAGCGACAAGATCAAGTTTTCACAGATGTTTATCAGACAGCGTTGGAAGCTCTCACTGTACAGGTAAAATTAAAAAAATGTTTGCTGTTTACTTCAATAAGAAATTATAATGAAGTTAAGATTATCATGAATTTTTCAATTCTGTTACTGTTGGGAATTATGGCACTTTATGGCACTTGTTAGGAAGTGCCTTGATGCCAGCAAAGTGTTCACAGTCCATGCAGTTTAAGTGTACCCTCTTGTCCAGATCAAAATGAATGCCTCTTATTGCCCTGGGACTTTAGGCATTAAATATACCTTGTTCTGACATTTAGGGATTGTTCACTTCTGCTAACCCTTAAACTGTCCAAACATAGATCTATGTTTGCACGTGTAGCGCTCCAAATGTAGATCAACGTTTTATTTTTTATTCCTTCAAATATGGCACAATTGGCTTGAGTCACTTAGACATGAAAGAATGGGTCTGTGCACTATGTGTGTGCACTGTGAAAAAAATCTGGGAGCACTTAGTACCTTGTGGGAGCACGAGTTCAACTGAGCGCCAGCTAGAGCAAATAGCGTGGCAGACACCGGGGATTCACTGATGCCATGTTGCATTAACACTCCCATTTTAAGAGGAAAGTAAAAACAGGTTAGATAAATACATGAGTGAGTGTGGGTGGGTGTGAGTTGGACCTGACTAGCTTGTGCTACTAGGTCTGATGTCATGCTCCTTCCTTCAATGGATGTGACCTGACTAGGTGGGTCATTGGTCTAAGCCAGAGGGGGAGAGTGACATATTCCTGCCTTGCATGGGCCAGTAGGCCTGCTGCAGTGTTCCTTCTTTCTTATGTATTTGTCAGGCTGGCTGGCTGGCTGGCTGGCTTGCTTTGGCTGTCTCTGGCTGCCTCTCTGTCTATCTATATCTCTATCTGTATCTCTATCTATATATCTGTCTATCTATATCTCTGTCTCACATGTACACATAAGTACAATTATGATGCATAGTGTAAATTACCTAGGATAACCCAGAAATTCCAGGCAAAGATAGACAGACAGACAGACAGACCACAAATCACTTACTTTCAATATATCATAGAATTACCCAGATAACTGCAATCAAATCTCTGTCCCAGATTTTCACTTGGACGGCTTCATGGGACTGAAAAATTACCTGGGTGGGCTAAATTGGGATGTCCTGACTATGGGTCAGGTAGGTGATCTTGGTTGCCAATATGACGTTTTTCAGAGCATAGTTCTAGCTGCCCAGACAACTTTTGTTCTGAGTAGGGAAATTAGATCTAACTAAATGATCTTGAATGGATGAAAAATAGATTAAAACATCTCATTGGTCAAAAGAGAGGCATATATAGGCATATCAAAAGAGAGGATAGGCAGTTAAGAAATCAATATATTCAATTAAAGAGAGAAATAAAGAAAGGAATAAGAAAAGCAAAAAGGGATTATGAGGCTAAGGTCGCAAGGGATTCAAAGACTAGCCCAAAAGGGTTCTTTCAGGTATACAGAAGTAAGATTAGGGACAAGATTGGCCCACTTAAGAGTAACTCTGGTCAGATAACTGACAGTGAGAGGGATGTGTGTGAAATTCTCAATACCTACTTCCTCCCAGTTTTCACCCAGGAAAATACTAGTGATATTCCTGAAATAATAGATTATGTAGAACAGGACGATAATAAACTATGCACGATTGTGGTAACTAGTGACATGGTCCTCAGACAAATAGAGAAACTAAAACCTAACAAATCCCCACAAACTGGCATAGTGCCTGATAAGTGGAAAATGGCAAATGTAATACCTATTTACAAGGCAGGTGACAGGCCCTTGGCTTCAAACTATAGACCAATAAGCCTTACCTCCATAATGGGAAAAGTTATGGAATCAATAATTGCCGATGAAATTCGTAGCCATCTTGATAGGTACAGATTGATTAGTGAATCTCAACACGGTTTTACAAAGGGGCGTTCCTGTCTTAAGAATTTACTAACATCTTTCACTAAGGTGTTTGAGGAGGTAGATCATGGTAATGAATATGATATTGTATATATGGACTTCAGTAAGGCTTTTGATAGAGTTCCACATAAGAGGCTATTGAGGAAACTTAATGCACATGGAATAGGAGGAGAAACTTTTTTCCGGGGTGAGGCAGGGTTGACAAAATAAGCAGGGAGTTTGCATAAATGGGGAGAAATCAAATGGTGGCACTCACAAGCGTTTTTTTCTCAGGGGTCAGTTTTGGGGCATAACAAATTTGTGATGACACCAAAATAGGCCACCAAAATTTATTTAATGGGGGACACTAGAGCCTCCCGGATGATTTGGTGACTGATGAAGGGTCGGAGAAGTGGCAGATGCATTTTTAATATAAAAAATTTCAAAGTTCTAAATTTTGGACGGGGAAAATTAACCAGTGAATATAAATTTAAATAATGTAGTCTTAATACTATGATTGCGAAAAGGATATATGATTCGGGTTAGCAGTAATCTAAACCAAGCAACAGTTTTTTGTGTTGCATATAGCTAACGAATCCTTGGCTTCATATCTAGAAGTATAAATAATAGAAGTCCTCAGGTTGTTCTTAAAAACTCTTTTATCCTTGGTTGGCTTCTTTACTTGCTGCTCATTTTTCTGGTCACCGTATTACAAAATGGATAAATGGCCCCTCAACCAGCGATAAAACCCGTTCTTGAGAGCTCACTAATCAAAATAATCTTTAGTCAATTTAAATTTTTTCCCCATAAGAAATAATGGAAATAAAATTTAAATCCGTGCAAGGACACCCAAAGTATTGAAAAAAAAAAAATTTTTACCACGAAAATTAATTTTAATACACACAAACTGAAAAAAGACATGCACAGTTTCAGACATTACCTTTTTGAAGATTGGTGATGATTGATGGGGTGGGGGGAGGGGGGGACCTTTTTCTTGTTAGTTTTAGAAGGGGAAACCCCTCCATTAGCACTTGAGGGAGCAAGTCTTTTTTTTGGGGTTTCTTCCCCCTTTTTCTTTTAAAGCCACTAGACCCTTCAGGGTCACTGGACTTCTGTGCACAACATTCTGTCCATGAGGCCCGTACTTTTTTTTTCCTTTTTTTCCTAAAGTTTTCACAAAATTGTCAGTGTAAAAAGTCACCCGCCGGCTTGCAAAAAAACGTGTGAGGGTTTTTTCTCAAAAATGGTTTCACTTTAAGCCCCTTTGCCAAAATTTCCTTAACTTTGAAGTAGGCAAAATTTTTTAAATTCCTCTTCCCCCCCCCCGAAGCAGTTTCCACAGGGGTGGCCTCTTACGTTAAGATGATCTAGCAGCTCATCTGGTTTGTTCTTCATTTTCCCCTCCCCCAAAATCTTCCACATCCTTCCCCCTAACCTCACCCAAAAGAGCACATTCCGGCATTTTTTTTTTCACCTGGGTGTTAGTCAAATGTTTGGGGCGCATCCTGGGGGGGCAAGATTAAGAACCCCCAAGGAAATAAGTTAGACAGTCCTCGATGTGCAGACTTTTTTTGGGTTATCCTGGGGGGCTAACCCTCCGGGGGTTTAAACGTTTTCGGTAATTTTTTCAGTTAAGCCCCACCAAAAACTCTCTCCACATCTTTGGTAATACAGCTGATGGTGGGGGAGCAACAAAACAGCTGACTGTGGGGCAGCAGCAGCTGCACCTTGGGAAAACAGCTTCCTTGATTGCCTTTTTACCCACAATATAGCGATGGTTGATTGGGGTTTATTTTAAAAACCCACCGCCAGAGACACGCACTCCCCTTTCATACTTTCAATGATCTTTTTTCTCTCCCCAGTAATTCTACCCTTTTTTTCTCTGGGTTGGCACTAGAAGCTTTTTGGGCCCCTGGTGATTTTTTGCGGTTCAATCACTACAAAGGCTGTGATAATATGAAATGTTCCAGTTGTTGTATGTTTGGAAGCGACCACAGCGGCTGGCTGGCTTGTAAACACTGATACCCAAGGGACAAGTGAGGTGCGCTCAGGCCAAAGTGGACGCGTATGGTACGGAATGAATAGCGCTGGTTGGGTTTTTAAGCGCTAGTCGAGGCAAAATTTTTGCGTTTAAATGTATCGCTAGTCAGATTTATCGTTAATCAATGCCATCGCTGGTTAAGGGTCCACTGTAAATGCTTTGGAAAACGTACATAGGAGGATGACAAAGATGATCCCATGTATCAGAAATCTTCCCTATGAGGATAGACTGAGGGCCCTGAATCTGCACTCTCTCGAAAGGCATAGAATTAGGGAGGATATGATCGAGGTGTATAAATGGAAAACAGGAATAAATAAAGGGGGTGTAAATAGCGTGTTGAAAATTTCCAGCCAAGACAGGACTCTCAGCAATGGTCTCAAGTTGGAAAAATTCAGATTCAGGAAGGATATAGGAAAGCACTGGTTTTGTAATAGAATTGTGGATGAGTGGAACAAACTCCTGAGTACAGTTATTCAGGCTAAAACGTTTGTGTAATTTTAAAAATAGGTTAGATAAATACATGAGTGGGTGTGGGTGGGTGTGAGTTAGACCTGACGAGCTTGTGCTGCTGGGTCTGGTGCCGTGCTCCTTCCTTGAGTGGAGGTGACCAGACTGGGTGGGTCATTGGGCTAATCCTGGAGAGGGGAGGGACATGAACCTGCTCTGCATGGGTCAGTAGGCCTGTTGCAGTGTTCCTTCTTTCTTATGTTCTTAGAACATGTTTCAAGGTACATGCCAGGGTATCTAAAACATTGCTGGGACCTATAAATACTTTGTATGTATTTCTAGACAATAGTAAATAACACATGCAGGTGTAAATGTTCACCTGTCACTGTGATTGTGACTATTTGAGCACTATTTCAGTATCTTATATTAGTGTCAGAAGAAAGACTGGCTTTGAAATTACAAGAACTATTATAAATTGTAATTATTGGAACATAAAAAATATATAAATTAAAACAAAAATGAGAAAAGAGGATATATCGGCAACACTTCTGCAAGCAGGAGTTGATGTTGCCGTCAGGTAAGCATCCAGAGCCAACTTCACGGTCTTATATCTCGGTAAGTACTGACACTAAATTTTTGTTTTAAT